GACAAAAACAAAACCAAACAATTCCAGTTTTCTTAAGAAAACCTTCAAGGACAGAACATTTACGTCTCAGACGTTCTCCTCATGTATAATCAGATGTTTAGAGGTGGCGTTCTGTGAAATGGTTACGGATAATGAACATCTAACCTGTTGTAGATTGGTTTGTGATCGACCTCAGTTTGGAGAAAGACAGATCTGACTTATAAGCAAACAGCTATTTCCTTTTACAAAATCTCATTAATGTCATAACGTTTAATTCATTCACATTTTTCATCCACCCTTAGGTCCAATTTATGGTCACTTCGAGAGCGAGTAACGCCTAAATGAACTAGTTTAGCTGATAACCTGTACAGATGAGTGTCTAATGGTGCTGTACACACGTGTAATCATTAGTGTGGCAGTTTAGTGCAGCTTATGGGCCATTCCCACCTGTACCGGGTCGGCCCGGGCCGGGTAGCGTAGGTTGTTTACATATCTGGGTGGCCTGGTATTGTTCCGGGCCAACCAAGGCTCATTCTCAGCCCTCTTCTGGAGGGGGTCTGCTTCAGGCCGACCAGGGCCAACACACCCACTGCTGACAGCAAATTCACACCTTCCATTAGAGCAAGCCTCTGATTGGTGGGTAGAATCAGCCCACATGGGCTTAAGGCAAGGATGTGTGGAATCAACCGGGCCAGGCGGGGCCGACTGGGCCGACCCGGTACAGATGGGAATGGCCTAGTACTCTAAATGTAATATTTCAGCCCAAAACCATAATTCTGCCTCCATCTTCAGGTTAAAACTCTGTTCCACATTCATGTAGAACCAGCTGTGGCTGATGGCTACGCTGGAAAACGTGACTTTGTCAGCAAATGACTAGGTGGCGGCACCGCACTGGTCTCCAGGTGAGGCAGCCACACCTCCACCTGGCTCAGCCACTCACCTGCCGATACGACACGCTGGCGCTCTGAGCCGCTCGCCTCCTTGAAAAATATGCCCCCTCCCTTTTTCATCTAATGATCGCGGTTAACAGGAAATCCTCCAGAATGCTGCAGGATCTGTGTCTGCTCTTCTCCTGAGCGGTAAGTCTGCTGCGAGTGTGTGGTTGCGTGCACGTGCGAGTGTGCTCGTGAACGACTCGTTTTTTGACAGAGAAACGCCAACAGCGCACATGGGGGCGTTGATGTTGAGTACCGTCTATCACTGCCTCAGTGCTGCTCTCTCGGTCTGCCAGGCGACGCCCCTTCTGAAGCGTTTTCCTAACAGGAAGTGTGGATGAAATAAGTGTCCACTCATGCCTTGACTCCCACTTTAAATAATGGGTTTAAGATGTCATACGTGACTGCCCACATGCTCTTTGTGCATGCTTTGATAGGTTGTTGGGCATTACATCCACTAGAGGGCAGTACAGAGTTAGCTTTCACCTCCAAAATTTCCATCTTCTCCCACCTACTGGTTGAAAGCAGAATTACAACTGTCTGTCATAAAGAACGCAGTTGAAGCCTGCTGTAGCTAGTGCTAACACGAGCCAACTGATACTACATAAACCATGAAGTAAAAAGATCCACACTGTTGAACAAAAAATATATACTTATAATACTTATAAGTTCAGCAGCAACAAAGCTAGGTCACAATCAGTCTGTGATTTCGTAGCTTCCTTTAGCTCCCTCAAACTAGTGTAGGCCGTGCCGGTGTTCACTCTGGGTTCAGCCCTTTGCTTTACGTCTAAAGCAGTGTTGGGAATGTTACTTTAAAAAAATAATTAGTGCTTGGGTTGCCTCGGGGGGTGGATTGCTGGCGGTTGTGAGTGGGGCCCCTTGGGGATCTTGGCAGCGACCATGGGTCACTGCCTGGCAGCTACATTGCCCCTGGGGGCTCGGGGTTTGGGGGTGGCCGGCCCCGTGTGGGGATCTGGGCAGGGCCTTGGGGGTCGGGTCCTGACATGTATGCTGCCGGGAAGAAGGCAGGAACATGCAGCAGTGCGGGGGGATCCTGGTTTCCTCAGTGGGAGCAGCCCGTGTGGCGCTCGGCCAACTGAATCCGCAGGTGGGTGGGAGGTCATGGGAAAGCACAGAGCACATTGAGTGCCTCCATATTTTCTCTCCTCCTGCTCCCTCACATCATCACACAAACATACACATAGGACCTTGGGGGGTGGGCAAGTCAGGGAGTGCGGGTATGGACCCCATTTCCGCATTCCTGTGGCAACCTGCCCCCCAATTTTATTTGCACCTTATACACTTCCACTGACGACATTCCACACAAACACACACTTAGGGCCTTGGGAGTGAGCACATCCAACGACATTTGGCAGGGGGATTTCTCAGCCTCCTCCCGAGTGCCGGTGCCCACTTCCAATTTTAAACTGCACTTAGACACTGAGGGCTGAGGGTGCAAGTGGGGTGGTGTGGTGGCCATGCAGCCCAGTGCATTTTTGTAGGCAATACTCTGTTTGCTGCATTTAGACACACGTGTGAAAGCTTTACTGACATACATGTGAAGTAAACACAACCACACGTCCATAAAGAGCCTTTTATTTAAAGCTGCTTTTAACTAAACCTTTTATTTTCTTTCATCTTTCATCTGTTTATGAAAATTTATCCTTTTATGACTTTATTTTTCAGATGTTAATCTGATTCTGTTTGGAGAACATTTAGATTTGATGGTAATCTGTTTATGATTGTATGACTTTGCTGTACTTTGTTTTGATCGACGTGAAGTACTTAGTCATTCTGTCTGTGATAAGTGCTATATGAATACATGTACGTACTACTTACGTCCATGTCCTTTTATGCATTTAACACTGAGCTACATGGTATTCACACATTTATTTACTTACTGCAGAAATGAGTCGAAGGTTTGAAACATGTTCATGGAGAAATGCATTTTACTGCTCAGGTATCACACGTGATACTGGTTTTGTTTAGCTGCAGTCAAAACGCACGTATGTGTATAAACGGTATTACAACACGTGTGTTCAGACTGAGGTTTCTTCTTCTCTTTCCACTGTTTACCCCCACACACACACACACACGCACGCACGCACGCACACACACACACACACACACACACACACACACACACACACCTGTAGATATTTCACGTCAGAAGTGCATAATCGTGTTTTTTTCCTCTCATTTGCTCAATCGGAGCTCTTTGGTCTGCGTTCATCCTCACCAGGACGAGCCTGTAGTTCTTGGCAGTAGAACTGGTCCTGCTCAAACAGAAGAGGAAGCTGTGTGGAACGTTTTGGTCTACCAAACACTCGGTCTCAGTACTTCGTACAGCGTGTACTCAGGTTCACTGCTGGACCTCAGGGTCGAGTCCAGTCTCTCATCTTTAAGCTGGTTGACTTTTAACGTGGAACGAATCGTAGCGTTTAGTTTTTCTGTCCCAGACTCCTCAGGGCTGTATATACATTCATGTAGAAAACACTAACTCACTCATTCATTCAGCAGACTCTTCCATAATCTAAGTGATGTGCTGCATAATCCTGTTAAGGATAATGGGAGGGGATTGCGTTCTAAGAGAAACGCCGTCTGTTGTGGAGCCGTCACAGATTAGTCTGGACTTTACAAGCAGCCTCATCCCATTTCTGATCACACGTTGGAACGCCACAAACTTCAGGCCTGATGGTCTGTAGAGCAGAATGAATAAAACCTGTTCAGTCTCATCCACTCCAATCAGTTAGCCCAGCAATCAGGGTACTTGTTTCTGGATTACTGTCAATTTTCACCAAACAGCTTGATTAAATGAACGGAGGGTGACTTTTATTATTTATGAATTCCCTTTTCCTTGCAGAGATTCCTCTCCTAGACGTGAGCAGGTGGTTGGATTGACTTTTAGTCCCATATCTGTGTCTAATGGCTGTTGTCTTCGTCAGGGCATGCCTCCAGCTGATCACAGACGGTCCCCCGGCCATTCAGGAGGAGCTAGACCTCATCAGTGCCCTCAGCCAGCTGGAAGACTTCAGCGTTCGCATCCTGCCGCTGCAAGGTAGGACAGGACGAGCGTGTCTCGAATGAGGCGTTCATGCAAATGTTCCTGAAGGCAGACATACATAAAGTGTAGTCACTTTCCTACCACACACACACACGCACACACACACACACACACACACACACACACACACACACACACACACACACACACACACACACACACACACACACACACACACACACACACACACACACACACACACACACACACACACACACACACACAGTGTAGCCTGTATCCCTCCATATGCTGCTCCCTATTGCCATTATAACTAAATATATGGTTATTTATGATCAAGTTGTGCAAACATCTGCCTGATTGCCTAGTTAAGACAGAAGTTGTGGTCTGCGTGCTCTCACCTGTGAAGCACATCGGTGTATTCTCTTTCATGCCTGCTTTTCCTGGCTCCGCTTCCTGCTGCTGGAGGAACTTTTTGGGATTTCCTGGTTAAAGGAAACCTCTGAGCCCAGCTTCTTGGTGTGTGACCCCTTGTGCTGAGGGGTTATTTACCCCTGGTGTTTCTGCACGTTAAACCTAAGCCAGTCTCTCACTCAGCTGCACCTGTTGGTGACAAACTGTTGTTCGCAGATGTGAGAAAGTCTCAAAACTGTGGTGTTTGGTTGAAGAACTGGATGCCAGTGTACGATAAGGCGTCCATGTTAAGTGGCTAAGAAGTTCATAGATGTGCCTGTAGCACTTTATGAATGATTGTTAGTTATGCAATAATTGAGGGTGAGAACCTGTTTCTGAGCCAAATCTGTTCACCTGTATGTTTGGTGTTGGAACTTTAGATGGAAAATATAAGGGAGCACATTTGGTCTTATATTATGTAGTGATGTAAAGACATATTGGTGCACTGAAATATCACTATATTTCTGTTATGATACTGAGTCAGTATTTAAAAGTAGTGTACCGTTTTGTTTTTTACTGATAATATACATCATTTACTGTATTTCTTTTGTGTGATGCAATTCAACCTCCGACTGCTAGGTGGCAGCAGTTTTTACTGTCTTTGTGATGATGGAAGGCTTAATGTGTGTTGAAAGTATAGACATGAATATGTAGACACTCCATTGGGAACTGGAGGGTGTAACAGGGTCACCGCCATATTGGGTGGGTTTCCACACCCTCTAAACCCAACTGGAGTCGATGAAGGGTGAGCAGCTTTGTCCGTTTTTTGTACGGCCTACGGTTGTAACAGCTGGCGTGCTCTTGAAAACAGATCCCTAGCCTACATGTTGGGATTTTTAATTTGTTTTATTAATTTTGTGTACTTCTATTTTATAATTGAACAAGCCATACCATATGTCTGATTTAGTGAAAAATGATATTAAAATGGGTTTTTTAGTTGGGTAAGCACCTTTGTCAGTAGAAATGAATGCACTGGGGGCAAAAAGAGATTTATTGACCTGTCCTGACAAGAGTCAAAAATTTTGATAACAGTAGATTTTTGATCTATTGCCCAGCCCTACCGACGCATTAGCAAAGCCCTGAAAGAGCCGATTTTGTACGGAGACACATCGGCTGAGAGGACCAAGCTAACATACTTTCCCCGTCTCTTTCACCAAAACGGCTCATGACTCTTTTTCAGTTAGCCGCCTTCTTCTTGTTCTCTTCCCCGTCTCTTTCATAGTCAGCAGGAAACACAAAATATTGCATATTAGTGATTATTTAGTTTTAAAGCTCAGATCTAATGTGGTTCCACGTGTATTTTATGATCGTGTACCACATGTTAGTCCTGTTTTAGGGTCATGCAGGTTCACACACTCACTGAAAAGCAAAGAAAAGGATGTTATTTACAAGGTAAAAGGCCCATTTCTGTTTCAGTGCACTCTCACATTTGAGCGCACACAGGTATGAAGCAGGATTTGAACATATATAATCCATCTTAGGCTTTCCTCCGCAGCTTTCCTTCAGAGCCCTAAGGCAATGCTTCGTACACGCCACCCTCCCCAGAATTCCCTCGAGGTCTCGCCTAAAGTGATGAAGTGAATTTTAAAGTTCCTCACAGGTGTCACGATGCGAGGTTGGTTGGACCCAAAATGCAGTAACCCAGGATGACACGAGGCAGATGTTGAATAAATAAAAATCCTTTTATTTTAGGATGACCAAAACAACAAAAATAAATTCCAAAGGCTGGAAGCCAAAAGTCCAAAAATCCAGATGAAGATCTGAAGATCCAAATACGCAAGAAGCACGAGAAGACTTAGATCCAAATACGAGAGGCACGAGAAGACATGACAGAATTACAAACAATGGACCGACACCAAATAGAGACAAGACAGGGCTTAAATACACAGGGAGAACAGTTAAGGAAACAGGAAGCAGGTGTGTGGAGTGAGGGCTGGAGGGAAGGCAGGTGACACCAATGATCTAAATGGGGAAACAGAACCAGTGGAGGGCAGATTAACCTAAAACACCAAACTAAACCTAAGACTGAGGGAAGGACTCACACACACACACATACACACACTGACACACACGTAAACTCACACACACACACACACACACTAACTTACACACATACACTCACACACACACATATACTGAGCTGGGGGAACAAGAGGCTGGAGCTCCAACTGGAGGGGCTGAGGATGACTAAATGAACACCGGACCTGAGGGAATGCTATGAAGGCCTACAAACAAAAGACACATAAATGAGATGCAGACAAAGGACACATGAGGGCGCTATGAGACACAGAAGGGAATCTAGAGAGGGATGGAGAAACATCAGGAGACACATGAAGGAAGACGCAGACACAGACCATGACAACAGGAGAGCAAAGAATCCACAAAGGTCTGCAAAGGTTCAGAACCTGACGTTTCTTACATTAACATGCAGGATTTGGAGGAAATGGATTTTTTGTGAGTTTCTGCGTCTTGAATGACAAAGGGAAAAAGGAAAAGTGTGATATCCATTGAATTAGAAAATGTAAAATGCTGGAAGGTATTTTCTACTAAAGTCATGTACAATCCACATATTATGTATTTTTTAGTTTTTTTAATATGTACAGGTCCTTCTCAAAAAATTAGCATATTGTGATGAAGTTCATTATTGTCTGTAATATACTGATAAACATCAGACTTTCATATATATTAGATTCATTACACACAACTGAAGTAGTTCAAGCCTTTTATTGTTTCTAATATTGATGATTGTGGCGTACAGCTCATGAAAACCCAAAATTCCTATCTCAATAAATTAGCATATTTCATCCGACCAATAAAAGAAAAGTGTTTTTAATACAAAAAAAGTCAACCTTCTAATAATTGTGTTCAGTTATGCACTCAATACTTGGTCGGGAATCCTTTAGCAGAAATGACTGCTTCAGTGCGGCGTGGCATGGAGGCGATCAGCCTGTGGCACTGCTGAGGTGTTCTGGAGGCCCAGGATGCTTCGATAGCGGCCTTAAGCTCATCCAGAGTGTTGGGTCTCTCAACTTTCTCTTCACAATATCCCACAGGTTCTCTACGGGGTTCAGGTCAGGAGAGTTGGCAGGCCAGTTGAGCACAGTATTACCATGGTCAGTAAACCATTTACCAGTGGTTTTGGCGCTGTGAGCAGGTGCCAGGTCGTGCTGAAAAATGAAATCTTCATCTCCATAAAGCTTTTCAGCAGATGGAAGCATGAAGTGCTCCAAAATCTCCTGATAGCTAGCTGCGTTGACCCTGCCCTTGATAAAACACAGTGGACCAACACCAGCAGCTGACATGGCGCCCCAGACCATCACTGACTGTGGGTACTTGACACTGGACTTCAGGCATGTTGGCATTTCCCTCTGCCCAGTCTTCCTCCAGACTCTGGCACCTTGATTTCTGAATGACGTGCAAAATTAGCTTTCATCTGAAAAAAGTACTTTGGACCACTGAGCAACAGTCCAGTGCTGCTTCTCTGTAGCCCAGGTCAGGCGCTTCTGCCGCTGTTTCTGGTTCAGAAGTGGCTTGACCTGGGGAACGCGGCACCTGTAGCCCATTTCCTGCACACGCCTGTACACGGTGGCTCTGGATGTTTCTACTCCAGACTCAGTCCACTGCTTCCGCAGGTCCCCCAAGGTCTGGAATCGGTCCTTCTCCACAATATTCCTCAGGGTCCGGTCACCTCTTCTGGTTGTGCAGCGGTTTCTGCCACACTTGTTCCTTCCCACAGACTTCCCACTGAGGTGCCTTGATACAGCACTCTGGGAACAGCCTATTCGTTCAGGAATGTCTTTCTGTGTCTTACCCTCTTGCTTGAGGGTGTCAATGATGGCCTTCTGGACAGCAGTCAGGTCGGCAGTCTTACCCATGATTGTGGTTTTGAGTAATGAACCAGGCTGGGAGTTTTTAAAAGCCTCAGGAATCTTTTGCAGGTGTTTAGAGTTAATTAGTTGATGCAGATGATTAGGTTAATAGCTCGTTTAGAGAACCTTTTCATGATATGCTAATTATCTGAGATAGGAGTTTTGGGTTTTCATGAGCTGTACGCCAAAATCATCAATATTAGAAACAATAAAAGGCTTGAACTACTTCAGTTGTGTGTAATGAATCTAATATATATGAAAGTCTAATGTTTATCAGTACATTACAGACAATAATGAACTTCATCATAATATGCTAATTTTTTAGAAGGACCTGTACTTTTCTTGTAAAGCAAATGCAAAACAAACATCAAGTCTTTCTAGTTCTAAAAACAACATTTAAGTCCAACAGATCTGATTACACTGTTCTCACGCGGCACAGATGGAATCACCAGAAATATCGTTTATGTCCAAATCAAATTAATGTTTTTTTAAGACTCCAAGTAATAAGAATCGACCGTGTTTATACAAAAAAGCACTTAATTTGAGCTAACATCATATTGTTTAGAAACATCAAAGCAGTTAATCAGAATGAAACTGATTAAATGAGACTACCTGCTAATCTGCAGAGAATCAAGCAGGGATTGGATTTGTAGTTGTAGAGTTCTTATGGTGCCTCTCAGCAAACACAGAGGAGTCAACTCATACCCTTCAAACAGGCTTCCGCCTCTCACAATGATCAAATTCCAAAGCATGAGACTGTTTCTCCTGGAAAGTTGAGGGAAAGACTCGTGGGAAACGATCGACTGGTTAAAATGATCTCAGCATTGACACTAGGTCAGTAGGAACTTCTTTTAGGCGTTAGTTGGTAAATTCTGGGGTCAAACCCCCACTGTGTGAAACATCAGATCAATGGGGAGGCCTTAAAGGAGCAATATGTAAGAGTTCTACAGCAAATTCATCACAAAACAGTCTAATGTCTCAGTCATGTTGGGAACAATGTCATTTTCATTAACCATACCATTTAATTGGTTGAGCACTTAAACACAGCATTAAAATTCAAATGTGTTAAAGCAGGGAAAGATCTAAAACATGTAGGATAAAAGACCTCCAGGACTGGAGTTGGACCACTGATTGATCAGCTTTGTCTTTTGATATTTTTATTCTACATTAACTTCTGATTTGTGTAAATAAATAAAAAACTCCAAGATTTTAAACAGAGGTCTGCCTGAATGGTTGAACATGTAGAACCTCTTATGTGGCTGCTGAGAGAAGGGACTCATTCACTTTTGTTGGACTTTTATTAATGCTTTTAAAATTTGATTAATATTTTATTTAATTCATACATGTACAGTGTTCTCTGGTGTTGGCTTAAAACTAGTATGTGATCATTCATAAACACACACATCATCAGTTAGAAACTCCATATCCTCTGGTTGGACTGGCCGTTCTTCGGTCATTTATTATCTTCCTGACATGTTGACAGCAGCTGCTTCGTCATCCACTCCACATCGTTTCCCATCGTTTTTACCATCAGCTGTAACTTGGGTCAGATCGAGTTCTGTAATTTGCCAAACAACTGTGACAGTCCCGCCTTTTCTCTCTTCCTCTTCTCTGTATCGTTCCTCCAGTGCGCCTGCGATCCGACCGCTTATCGCTCATCGAGGAGTGCATCGCCCGCTGCCCCACTGCCTATAACCAGTCCACCACCCTGCTCAGTCTGGCGTCACTCCTCCGAGTGTCAGGTACTGTTACCCACAACCACACACCTCTGTTCTCCTTTCTCTCTGACTTTCGCTCTGCTGGAATGTGTTGGAGGGAAGGTTTTATCACGAGGACCGGCCCGTTGTCCGTCGAGGTTCTTGGAGTTAAGTGAGGTAACAAAACAGAAGATTTGCTGCTAAACAAATGTTTCCATAAATGCTCACGAAACCTTTTTGTGTACTCAAACTGCGTATTCTGTCAGAGATGGATTGAGTACAAGGCCGTTAGCTCTTTATACGAGAGAGGACTGTTGCCTCAGGAAAACAGCAGGCACTTTATAACAGTAAGTTTATTTTGTAATCCTCCTTGTTTCTGTTTTAGTCCCATAAAATACAGCCGGCGCTCCTGTTGGCTAATGGGATTGGAAAGCTGATATATTTTAGTTAAAGCTATTTGAAATAGAATTAGACACCCTCTAGTCTTTTTCAAAGCTTGAAGTTTCTAACTTCATCTTTTAATGTAGCATGGGGAGTCCAGCTCTACCTCGAGCTCCTGCTGCCCCCCCCCCCAACACAAAGTGTTTTGACTAAATCTAACTGTCGTTCAAAGGAGGGATACTCCCTAACAGATGTTTTCAGATGACAGGAACCAGTTTGTAACCCACATAGCTTTGTTTCACATGACGTTGCATCCCTGCCACCAAATGCAGATGGGGATATGGAAGTAGCCGGCGCTGCACAGAACCTTATTTACTGCCGTCAGCAGGAAAGGGGGAAGAAAAAACCCCAGATGAGTTATCTAACGCACGTTCTCACACGCAGCACCTGACCAACCAGCGGTTAAATGTGCCACCGGGTCCATGGCAGAGGAGAGATGACATCCAAACAGAAATACAGGGCAGGGGTCTCATTTATCAAACATGGCGTAGAATCCTTACTAAAACCGTAACTAAGCTCAGCAAAACAAAAGTACTTACGCCAAGCAGGTGTGTGATCTATCAAACATGGCGGACGCACAGCTGCACGCAATCTTCGCTTCATAAATCAGAAACTATCTAGAAAGGTTCTCAGCTGCATTTTAGTCACATCCCGCCCTCACCACGCCCACTTACTGCCTTAAATGGTCAATGCAAAGTGCCTTGTGGATCTCATGCATTTACATAAGCCGGCTGTTGCAGGGCTCCGCCAATGACATGGTGACCGTAGATCAAGGCAGATCAAGGAAGCGCTATTTCATACAAGCAGAAGTTGAGGTACCTGTGGGTGAGGTGGAGAAATGAAAGGAAGTGCTTTTGCAAAACTAATAATAGAAAATCCACGGAGTGGCACAGCGTTGCTGAAGCCGTCAATGCTGACTTCTTCAGAGAGATCTGTGGTGGGTATAAAAAAAGGTCCAATCAGGATTCGATCCCCAGACTCCCGGGTGAAAGTCACACACGCTAACCAGTCATCCAAACAGATCTCCCTTGTACAAGTAGCCAGGTCACATGATCAATCGGGTCACAGTGACAGGACACACACTGTCACAGACGCATGATGTTCTGTCTCACTCTGTCCCCCTGTCCATATTCTGCGCTTCAGTGTGTGTGTGTGTGTGTGTGTGCGCGCGTGTGTCTGTGTGTGCGTGTGTGTGTGTGTGCGCGTGTGTGCACACGTGTGTGTGTGTGTGTGTGTGTGTGTGTGTGTGTACAAGTGATAATGCTGCAGGATTTCATAACTGTATCTTCTCAGCAGCAGCACTGCAGGTGCTCTCCATGTCCAGCAGGTGTGTGTCAGGTCCTTAGTCAACTTAGAGTTACGCACATTTTTCCACTACGTTTTCTTTCATAAATCCCAAAGTTCGCGTGGAAAGTTGCTTACCCAGTTTTCCGACCCCGCTTCGTGCGTAAGCTAGCTTGATAAATGAGGCGCCAGGAGTACAAGAAACAAAACGTCAAAACAAGAGGAGGAGTGAAAGTGCGAATGCTGTTAGAGACCAAAGGAAAGTGTTGTAGGCATAAACACCACAGCTGCTGCTCACAGAAGAGAGGATAGTTCTGCCTGGATGTGGGCTGTAAGTCCAAATTAGATCCTGAAACATACACGAACAATAGCATTATTATTATTAATGAATTGTAACAACTCATTACTTACCTGAGCCAAAACAACTGTCATGCAAAGCGTCTCTGGAACACTGAATGGTTAACCAACCTGAAATAAAGCCACCGTAGGCTTCCAAGCGTGTGAAAGGCTTTTGTTTGGTGTGCAGTGTGATGTGAGCTGAACAGCATGAGATGGTTTGTTGTGCCGATCATTTCAGCGCCGGCTAAATCCTCCAGTTTAGAAAAGTCCGACTTTTAAAACGATACGAGTCATAACCTAAATGAAGATGTATGTTTTTGCAGTATCGTGTCTGCGCCGGCTCATTTAAAGCCTTCGTATAATCGCTGTCATCCATCGCACGGCGCCCGGTGGTGGAACAAAACACTTCCTGGCCCCATCTGGGTTCCGCGCGACTGCAGAGTCATGTGAGTGAAACCCAACAGTAACTCGTGTTTTTTAG